TCTTCTTCATCCTCTTCGTCGTCGTCGTCCTCGTCTTCATCGTCGGGTGGGTCATCCGGAGGTCCTCCTCCACCACCAGTGAGGCTCAACTGACGTCGACTTGCTCCCTGCCTATTCCCATTAGGCGAGAATCCACCGTAATCCAATGGGGGCGTAGTACCGTTGTTTCCCCCTCCATCACCACCACCAGTCGTAGTAGTGGATTGTGGGACATGTCCGACAACCCCTTGCATCTGGGATAGGTGTACATCGATCATTGGATCACCGAAAGACGGAAAGAGAATCGAACCTGGCATTAGTGACGAATTAGGGTTCAGATTCGAAGACGATGACGGGACTAACCCAGCCACCTTCTTGTCTACCCTATTTGAATTAGCTTGGGATCCTCCCTCAGCGCGTTTCACTACTGCTCGTTCACGATGTCCATCTTTGCTGCTGGAGGCTTCCTGTGTCTCCAGCTTCTTGTGTGCACGTAGTTCCTCGTTGTCAGCATCGAGTTGACGAACAAAACTCTCTTCTTGCTTGAGCGTCGCCTCCCTTTCCTTCAGTTGTCCCTGAAGTTCATGCATCTCCTCAAGGTACTCATCGTACACCCCCTTAGCTGTCAATCTCCAGTACTCAGCCTCCTTCGACTTCTTCTTGTTTTGCTTCTTTGACCTGGGCTAACTCCAAGATCGCATCTTGACGATGGCCACCTTCGACAGCAATCATCTGGTCCTTCATCGACACGTCGGATTCATACTGTTTGACGATCTCTTCCTTCTCGCGAAGCAAGCAATCTGCTCTCTTTGATTCTTGTTCCGCAAATACTGTAACATCATTCAGTCTCGCCATCAGCTGTTCCCTGGAGTCCTCCATAGAGTACGTCTCGGGGCGCTTGACAAGTGCGTGTTCCAACTGTGATTTCAGACTTTGGACCATCTCCTCCTCGTTGAACTTCTCGATAGATGTAGACGATTCGATGCCTCTGATTTGTTGCTGATAAACTGATATCTGCTGTGAAGCTTCACGGTGTATCTGATTTGCACGTATAGCTGACTCCTGCGCGGCCGACTTCTCGCTTGCCATGTAGGATTTCATCACTGCAATTTCCCGCTTCTGCTCCATGATAGTTCCTTCAGCTTGTCTCATCTGTTGCATTATAATATTCGACTCCATGTCTTTCTTCTCCCCGTACTGAAATGCGTTCATTTCCACCTTGCGCATCTGTTGGGCTTCTTCCTCAAACTTGCGCCATGCCTCAGCCATGTGGTGTTGGTGGTGACTCACTAGATGTCCCGACTGCTTGCTGGCAATCTCGCATCGTCTTTCCAGCTCCTGGATCCGGATGGTGCTTCCATAGTCTTCTTGATGAAGATTCGCCATTGCTGCCGACATTTCATCAAGCGTCTTTTGGTATTCCCCGATCTCCACCTCCATCTTGTTCTTTTCCTTGATCGCGGCGCGAAACTCCGCACTGGTGGGTGACTTTGACCTCCCACCCTTCGATGTCGATCTCACGCCCTTCTGCGACGTCCGTGGTGTCGCAGGCGAAGATGATGATCTTCTCGGTGGGGATTCTCTTTTCTTCGACTCCTGATGAACATCGATCTGCTTCCATGATCTTGTGGGAGTGGATATGTCGCTGAATAGCGCGGAACCTCCGCTCCCAGGTTCATCCTGTGAATCTGCGATCATATCCATCACCGCAGGAAGAGCCATCAATCCATTGGATCCCTCTGAGCTGCTGTTCCCAAAAGTTGCAGTACTTGGGCTCGCTGAAGATGCCATTGTACTGTGTAGGTTATCGTTCCTTTATTGTCCCTGTACCCGCAATAAACCAGCTGTCTCTCTGTCCAGTGTAGAGCTTGTAGATACGGCTGATAACCTGTCAAGAGACGGCAAGGTGACGTCCCGTGGGACGCTATGCACCGAACCCTCCAGCTGTAATACCAACCACGTAGAAAGGTGTATACGGACGATGCCGTTATAGCCGAACCCGTGTAAACGTTGTAAGGGGGAAGGAATGATAATTACAACAGTGGTCCTGACAAATGCAGCGTAAGCGAAGTGTTTTCCGCTCTGAATGCCGATCACGTATGAATGCAACTACACATCAGATCTTGAACCTCAATTGTGTCTTGAGCCAAATGGCGATCAATGGAACTTGGTAAGCAACACTAACACAGACCTCAGAACTGCTTCCCAATTTAGGCACGGGGCCTAGAGGGTTTTAACTAGTATATACTACTACCACTACAACCACTACAACTACTACTACTACGACTCCTACGTACTATGACTACTACGGTTGCTACTACGGTTGCTACTACGACTTCTACTACAGTTACTGCTGCTACTACTAGTAGTAGTACTACTACTACCACCAACAACAAACAACCACAACAACGCCAGCAGCAGCAACAACAACAATAACGACGACGACGACGACGACGACGACGACCACAACAACAACAACAACAACAACAACAACAACAACAACAACAACAACAACAACAACAACACCAGCAACAACAACAACAACAACAACAACAACAACAACAACAACAACAACAACAACCAACAACCAACAACCAACAACAACAACAACACCACACAACAACAACAACAACAACAACAACAACAACAACAACAACAACAACAACAACAACAACAACAACAACAACAAAGCAACAGCAACAGCAACAGCAACAGCAACAGCAACAGCAACAGCAACAGCAACAGCAACAGCAACAGCAACAGCAACAGCAACAACAACAGCAACAGCAACTGCAACAGCAACAGCAACAGCAACAGCAACAGCAACAACAACAACAACAAGGTTGGACGGGGAGGGTTTGCCCGGGAAAACCATGCGAACCGGCCGGGGAGGGTTTGCCCGAAGGACAATGTCAAAGATTAAGTCATAAACACTGCATGGCTCCCACCCATGGAGAACGTGTTGTTTGGCCACCAAAACCTCTTTGCCCCAAACAGCTGTGCTTCAATACAGTTCTGAGCGGGTGCACTTGAGCGGGTGTGCTTACCAGTTGGTGGGCTTGGATACAGTTCTGAGCGGGTGCACTTGAACGGGTGTGCTTACCAGTTCATGGGCTTGCATACAGTTCTGAGCGGGTGCACTTGAGCGGGTGTGCTTACCAATTGGTGGGCTTGGATACAGTTCTGAGCGGGTGCACTTGAACGGGTGTGCTTACCAGTTCATGGGCTTGCATACAGTTCTGAGCGGGTGCGCTTGAACGGGTGTGCTTACCAGTTGGTAGGCTTGGATACAGTTCTGGTGGGCTTGGATAGAGTTCTGAGCGGGTGCACTTGAACGGGCTTGGATACAGTTCTGAGCGGGTGCACTTGAGCGGGCGTGCTTACCACTTGGTGGGCTTGGATACAGTTCTGAGCGGGTGCGCGTGAACGGGTGTGCTTACCAGTTGGTGGGCTTGGATACAGTTCTTAGCGAGCGCGGCTTACCAGTTGGTGGGCTTGGATACAGTTCTGAGCAGGTGCGCTTGGACGGGTGCGCATACCAGTTGGTGGGCTTGGATACAGTGGATACAGTTCTGAGCAGGTGGGCTTGAACGGGTGTGCTTACCAGTTGGTGGGCTTGGATAGAGTTCTACGCGGGTGCACTTGAACGGGTGCGCTTACCAGTTGGCAGCTTTTGGCAGGCGCGCTTACCAGCTGGCAGCCTTTTGCAACAACGGCCAGGGGGGGTTTGCCCGTGATTTTCAAGTCGCGCGCGCGATGTTTGTAAAAACGATGCCCGACGTGCGACTAATAACATCACGCTGACATGAAGATGTCAAACAAAAGCGCAGTCATTATCTGCGAAGAAATGCACATGCCCAGTGATATGTGTAAGATATGCTGCGTTTTACAGCACGTCGCGCACCCATCTGCCGCGGTATGTGCCAAGGCATCGTGCGTCACAAGGCTGCAATGCACTGATGACAAGACAACGAACGCAGGTATAGTTTCGACTCTGCCGACAGCCAGATGTCCTGGTAAAAATGGGACGACTTGGCAGTCACATGTCCGACGTGCTGCGTTTTACAGTATGTTGCGCTGCTGAAATCCCGGGCAAACCCCCCCCCCCGTTGAGCCAACAACAACCAACCAACAACAACAACAACAACAACAACAACAACAACAACAACAACAACAACAACAACAACAACAACAACAACAACAACAACAACAACAACAACCAACCAACAACAACAACAACAACAACAACAACAACAACAACAACAACAACAACAACAACAACAACAACAACAACAACAACAACAACAACAACAACAACAACAACAACAACAACAACAACAACAACCAACACAACAACAACCAACAACAACAACAACAACAACAACAACAACAACAACAACAAACAACAACAACAACAACAACAACAACAACAACAAACAGCAAAGCAACAGCAACACAACACAGCAACAGCACACAACAGCAACAGCAACAGCAACAGCAACAGACAGCAACAGCAACAGCAACAGCAACAGCAACAGCAACAGCAACAGCAACAGCAACAGCAACAACAACAACAACAACAACAACAACAACAACAACAACAACAACAACAACAACAACAACAACAACAGCAGCAGCAGCAACAACAACAACAACCACCACCACCACCTCAATTAACCACAACCACAACCACAACAACAACAACAACAACCACAACCACAACCACAACCACAACCACAACCACAACCACAACCCCAACCCCAACCGCAACCGCAACCACAACCACAACCACAACCACAACAACAAACCACAACCACAACCACACAACCCCAACCACAACCACAACCCCAACCTCAACCTCAACCGCAACCGCAACCGCCACCACCACCACCACCACCACCACCACCAACAACAACAACAACAACAAAAACAAGATTCATTCACGCGGCCTCAAGACTGCAAGCTGACTGGACAGTGCGGGCTAAAGCGCAGCATGGGTTTGCTGCGCTCCCCTCCCTCGCCTCGTCTGCGGACTCAACAAGTCCCAGCTGTGCCTCAACACGGCGTGCAGCCTCTTCAGCCAGGACTGCCTTGGCGTGGCACTCCGCGCCGTCAGAAAGGAAAACCTACTTGCAAAGCTGGCCTTCGTAAAAACTGGCTCCACACACAAACTTGCAGAACGGTCGATTGGTCTCCCGCGATTGCATCCAAGTGTCCTCATCTTGAACTTCAGCGCTTGAAGCCGTTTCTTCTTCTTCTCTTCCTGTGCGTTCGATGGAGCCAAAGAACCCTCCAGAAGAAAAATAAACCACATGCTCGATATCAAGAAGTATCTTTGGCGATACTCAGGATACGCCCCTTGAACTTGCGTCAGGGAAGGGTTTTGTTGCCAGAGTTGTTTAAAAGTAAAAATTCAGCTGCGATCTGCACGCAGGCACAAACACAAACATGGGAGTGTCTCCGCACCTCTAAAAATATTGTTTTTTTCAACTTGGGTTTCCCCTCGAACCAACCTACAAAATGGTACCCATGACAAAAACAACCACACGCAACTTATCGTCCTGAAACCCTGCAGCTTCTGGATGCGGTTCATGCCTTCGGCTTGGAGTCTCAGCTCAGGTCGCTTTCAAAAGAATCTCAGTGCGCACACCACAAATGGACCACAAAACCGTTCACAGCTGAACCAGAGCAATGCTCTCAGCCACAGATGGGCTGCTAAGTCACGTCCGGACGACCCGCGAGGCTCCTCCATTTTCTTGCGCTGCGCTTCAGAGAGATGGGACTTGTCCATCTTTTGGAGCTTATCCATGAACTCCATAATATGCTCCGTAGACTCACTCTCCTCAGCTCGAATCAAACCTGTTTCACTTTCAAGGTCTGTGTGGCTGTGTCGTCTCTGTGTGTGTGTGTGCGCCTCTGTGTGTTTGTGTGTGTGTGTGTCTTTGTGTGTTTGTGTGTCTGTGCGTTTGTTTGCTTGCTTGCTTGCTTGCTCGCTTGCTTGCTCGCTTGCTTTGCGCCTTGCTTGGCTTTGCTTTGCTTTGCTTCACTTCGCTTCGCTTCGCTTGCTTGCTTGCTTGCTTGCTTGCTTGCTTGCGTGATTTCGTGGTTGCAGTGATTGCAATCTTGTGCATGTGCTTATGTGTGTGTGGTCGGGTCTGTGTCTCTGTGTGGTTGTGCGCTTCTCTGTTTGCATGTCTGTCTGTCGGTCTGTGTGTCTGTCTGTCTGTCTGTCTGTCTGTCTGTCGGTCGGTCGGTCGGTCCGTCGGTCGGTCGGTCTGTCTGTCTGTCTCTGTCTGGCTCTGTCTGGCTCTGTCTGTCTCTGTCTGTCTCTGTCTGTCTCTGTCTGTCTGTCTATCTATCTATCTGTCGTTCTATCCGTCTGTCTGTCTGTCTGTCTGTCGGTCGGTCTGTCCGTCTGTCTGTCCGTCTGTCTGTCCGTCGGTCTGTCTGTCTTCCTGCCTGTCTGCCTGTCTGTCTGTCTGCCTGTCTGCCTCTCTGTCTGTCTCTGTATGTCTCTATATGTCTCTATATGTCTCTGTTTGTCTCTGTCTGTCTCTGTCTGTCTATTGGTATCTTTGTTTCTTTGTGTCTTTGCTTCTTTGTTGCTTTGTTGATTTGTTTCTGTGTTGCTCCTTGTTGTTGTTGTGTTTTTTTCTGTCTATCTGTCGGTCTTTCTGTTTGTCTGTGCGTCTACTCTGTCTGTCTGCCTCTGTCTGCCTCTGTCTGCCTCTGTCTGCCTCTGTCTGCCTCTGTCTGCCTCTGTCTGCCTCTGTCTGCCTCTGTCTGCCTCTGTCTGCCTCTGTCTGCCTCTGTCTGCCTCTGTCTGCCTCTGTCTGCCTCTGTCTGCCTCTGTCTGCCGCTCTCCCGTGGGTTTTCCGATGGTTCTTACTCATGTTCCACAGATTTCCCACGCGCTTGTTGAACAAATTTCGGCAAGTCAAGTAGCCCATGGGTTTCCTTTAGGTTTCATTCATTTTTCACTGGGATGCAACTGATCCCTTCATCCTTGTTCTTCGTGTCTTTCTGTCTTTCTGTCTGTCTGTCTGTCCGTCTGTCTGTCTGTCTGTCCGTCCGTCTGTCTGTCTGTCTGTCTGTCCGATTGTTTGTTTTTGTCTGCCTGCTTGTGTATTTGTGGTTTGTGAGGGTAGCCTTTTCAGGTTGCTTTAAAGTGAACCCCAAAGGCAAACCACCATGTATGTCTGGGTCCTTTTCTTTGGACAAGTACCCATTTGTGAAAAGATTGGGCTTTGGAGGAGCCAACTTGTCCTTTCGTGTTAAGTTGACAGAACGGGTAGGTCAAGGTTTGCAAAGGAGAGACTCTGCGGGAGAGCTTGTGCCATCCAAATGTCTGACCCCCAGACATGCATTGCATTCCTACAATCTGGATGCAGGATATTGAGGATGGTCGAGAGGGCACCCCCTGACTTGGTCAACGTTCATGTACCAGGGCACCTGATACCCGCTAACCCTGATGAATGTTACTGTGCACATATTGCGGCGCCCGTCCTGACAAAAATGTTGACGTTCACACATCCAGGGCCTGTTGGACACTTCAAGACGCTTACACAAACTGATTGACCTATATCTTTAGCCAAGGTGGGGGGGGTTCTGAAAAAGGTGAACCTGATTTGGATCGTTTTCAGGGGCCACAAGACCACAAACAGTTTTGGGTCTCCCTATTTTGAGAAACACCGAGTCCTCGTCCTCAGGAGCCTCGTCCTCGCTAACTCCATCGTCGCCCTCCTCATTGGGAATCTGGATATCCTGGAGCAACGGGGAAATCCAAGGAGCTACAAGCGGGGAATCTGATCCAGCCACTTGCCTCTTGTGGCAGGAACAAGCTTCAAATGGATCCCACGCATATTCCGGGCCAAGATCTCAGCTTTTTGGTGCCAACATGCAGGATCTTAGTCGGCTTCCTGTGTCAAGACAACTCTTCTGAGTACTCCCCTGCAAATTAGCGTGAAATCAACGATCCCCCCAAAGGAGATTACTCTACACATGAGAATCCGGCAGTAAATCCTCCCCTAACATCCATCGGCCCAGGCCTTATGCGCTTTCTGGGTGAGCAAGTAGCGGAGGCGCAGCCAAACATCACAGGCCTCGCCAAACCGATTCCAAGGTTTAGGCACAAGGCTGCCGGAAAAAATCTCGTCCTGACCACGAAACGAGGCCATCCGTCGGATTCCATCTTGAGCTTTGGCTTCCCTCCGGGAAATCCAAAGCCCGCTCGTGCCGCTCGGTCCAAAGGCTTTCTCCCGAAATCACCTCTTTCCACAGACCAGACCCAAAGCCCATGAAGTCACCAACAAAGAACTTCATGTTTGCAAGCAGTTTCGAACTTACAGCGAAAAACCGAGGTTTGCCATACCTTGAAATGCTACCGATAAAACTAAAACGCGGCGGCTTACATGTCAGAATGGGGGTTCACTTCGCAAGGGCCGTGAGCCACAATGCAGCGTCACAAACACGCTTGATCAAACATGAAAAGCATTTCTGGCACACCTCAAAAGCCCCAAGTTCGGGATGTAAACAAAATCAACTCGGGTCAAAACGCGCGGGAAGTCCTCTGTTTCGTTGGCCATTTGGGTGTTTGGGGGGGACTTTGCGTCCATCATAGCCATTTGGCTGTGTCAAAACCCTGTACCGCTGGTGAACATCAAAATAGGTGGCAAATGGATCATCCACCCCAAAATGGGATCGCCATAGGAGTTATGCAACCCGAGCGAGCCGCCAGCCTGCACCAGAAACTCCCTCGGCGGCAGCATGCAGGTCTGACGAGCGCCGCGACGAGCGATCAAAAAAAAAACTCGGGACAATGTCAACACATCCTGAACATTGTACACCTGAACATTGCAACTTGTAAATGGTGGAAAACCCCTGTATTGTGGTGTTGAAAAAGCCATCCATGTTTCAAATGGTTGCAAACTGTATCGATCTTTTAAGGAGCCCCGGACATCGAGGATTGAAAAGCCGCACGCGGCAAACCCAGACTGGTTTGATTTTCTGTTTGGCTCTTCAATTCCGGTTACCAGGAAATTTCTGAGCTTCTGCTTGATTCTCTGGTGTTCCAACCAGGAAACTTCCTATCCATGCCACAACTCTCAATGTACCGACTGTTGATAAGATCTGAAAGACTCCATGCCAGCAAAGGAACTCGAAGAAGGCCTCTATATGCATCCATTTCTCTAGGGGCAACTTCCCCTTCTTTCCAGGGATCCTTCTTTCTAGAAACACACCAAAACCCCTGGGGAAATGGCTGGTTTTTGAACAGAACGATGACTGAAAACTATGGTTGCCATCAACCCCTAGAAATTCGATCTTCATGAATCTGAAGCAAAAGCAATGCCATTCTTTCCAAAATCCCTTGGAAGGCTGGGCTTGTGTTTTGACTTCCCTTCACATCACAAGGCCAACATTGCTTCCGTGTGACACGAACTTCCGCGCTCGACCCCTGGCTGTCTGTTCTTCTTCGCTCACTTTGGACACGCTGAGGATGGTTGCTTGTCAACCTCCAACTTGATTCCATGTTCAAAACCTGTAAAGATGCTTCTTTCCGGTGGAACATGTGAGGCATGGCTGTAGATCCCCACCTTTTCCACCGACTTCCTGCTCTGAATTCCGGGGCCAGCGATCTGCGCGGCTCAGCTGACAGACGCCTGCTCATAGCGCAAGCATTCGAAGCCGGCCTTGGCTTCGCTGGTGACAACCTCAGAGTGCCAGATCTCACCTGGGCTGCCCTCAGATCCCTTGCTGAAAGTTTAACTTTTAGTGCCCCGCATGGCTATGGATCGTTCCGTGGCCGGTGGTAATACCACGAACCACTTTAACTATTGGTGGGTTAAATGGAAACTACCACTAAACACCAAAAGGCCAAAAAGCTCAGGAACCGGATGGCTAGCCACCAAGTCACAACGACCCTTGCTGAACTCCAGGCCTTTGCAAATCGGAGCGGCCACGCATCGGGCCCGGCAGTCCTCCATATGGCGCACCGCCTCCACCACATAAAAGCCGGCGGAGTTCTGCCCACCGGCTCCGCGGCAGGCCTGGTCCAGGCCCCCATTCACGGGGTTGAGAAACTTGCCCGGCCAGCCGTAGCGGAGGCAGGTGAAGCCTTCCCATTGAGGATAAGAGAAGGCCCAGATGCCTTCCTTTCGCTTCCACAACTCGCAACGCTTGCTGTTGCGATTGAACTCAATACCCTTGCATCCCTCTTCTCCCAGCTCCTCCAAGCACCTTGGCTGGGGTTTTTGGACCCCAGCAAAAAACATATATGTTTGCCTGGTTAGTGGAAAACAAAGGGAACACCAAAAAGCAAAAATCATATTTAAAAAAACAAAAAGGAACTAATTCTGGGGAAGGCACAAAGCTTGACAAGCTTCCACGCTCGGAACTTTCTGGCGCACCTCGAAGTAGCTGGGATTGTTGTCCGTGGGGCCAGCACCACGGCAAACTCGGTTGAAGGGACCTGCAAACTCCTCCCACTGCTTCACCACGGGTGCAGGGACACATGCCGTGCACACATATTTGGTAGCCTCCAGCACGACCGTTCCTGAAGACGTGTTTGCGGTGCAGCCCTGAGGGATGGTTCTTGAAGTCACCCAGCCAGCACCCAGCGAACTGCACCTGGCCAGTTCCACACCATCGGTCTGTTGAAATGAGCCCTCGCTGGGTGGAGTCGCGCAAACTTCTCGTTGTTCGAAGACAAAATTCTCTGGGCAACCGCCGGGCCCATAAGGGACTGCAGCTGGCGAGGTGGAATTGCGGATGCATGTGGCACATGTGTTAGACTGCGGGTCCTGAAAGTACCGCATCTTCTTGGCCCAAGTTTCCCCACATTCAACATAGCCAAGATTGCTGATGTCCTCAATCTTCTTGTCATACCCAAGAGGGCAAATGTAGCCGCACTCCTCGCTAGACGTCGTTCCATAGCAATATGTTCCTGGGCAATCAAAGGCGACGTTCCATGGACAAGCAGGCGACCCCTCCAATGTTCCAAATCATGTTGAAATGAGCAAATACGTCATGAATGCACACCCAGCTGCTGAAAGGAAGGGTATGTGAACCAAGAGATCCTCGACTCCCAGTTGCCGTTGTAACACCTTGGATTTCGATGCAAAGCCAGTGGTGGAGATCAACATTTTGAAACAAACACGAGAACAACAATACTCTTTGACCCAACTTAACCCGCGGTACCGAAACAGCGAACAGCAACAAATCTCAACAAATGTCCTTCTTGATTGATGTGTTCCCGTCTTGAAGCAAGCTTCAGCACCACTAGCATTCTGTAATGCGCCACTAAATGAGACAAACCTGTAAACGCAAGCTAACAGAATCCAACGAAAAAGATGGTCCATCGAAGCGCATTATAACCTCTGGCGGCGTGGCAACTTTGTAACACCAAGACGCCCAGCTGCAGCATGACGTTGCCTGGTACTTTGCATCGCGGGCTGGCCGCAACCAGAGATACGTGTAGCAGCAGGAGCAAAGTCATGGCAAAGGACTTTGCTACGTGGCTTGTTCGATACAGGAAGCGGCTCAGACATACCAGTGGCGAGACTGACACTACCACCTTGAGTGCCTCTTTTTGTAACTACATATAGATTTTGTGCAAATGGCGCGTCTACTCGAACAGTTCAATGAGGCTCCAGCTTCCTTTCTGAACATGAAGAGCGTCTCCAAATTCTGTGGGTTCCGTACGGTTGGGTCTTGAGCTTACCGGGCAAACCTTCCAATCATGTTGGAATCCAGCCATGATTCATGTCTTGGATGTGAAGGACGTGGAAAGAAGCTTCGGACGCGAACTTCATCAAACATCGGCCAACATCACATGACCTGTGCGCAATTTGATGAATTTGTACCATACTTTAGAATCCACATTAAAGCAGGCATACCCTATGGAATTACCCATGAACCGAGATTTTGACATGGCTCAGGGGTGAATTGGTGCTGAGATTGTGCCTGATGTTCGCCAAAGGGGGACATAATTGAACTTCTGGACACCCCCATATTTGGCAAACAATTGCCCCACGATGGCCAATTCAGCTACAGTACGTGATCCGTCAGTAATGACTCATAACTCCGTATGATGCCATCAACAACTGTTGTAACATGCATCTACACAATAGCCAGTAATTGGCATAGAACCCCTTGTAACACTCTTGATAGACACCACCTGCACCACCTAGTGATAAACCAATAACTAACCGGTGCAGGAGTTAGATCACATCAGTATCATGACAATGCGGGCTCTACCTGCTGGCAATTTAACGTGCCAAGGGAAAAGGGACAATCTTTTAAAGGAAAAACTACGGTGACACATGAAACAATGGCGGATTTTCTATTGCCATCTCGAATTCCCGGAGGGGAACCCACATCATTCTCACCCCGCGACTGGTTGATATGTCCATGCTGGTTCGCTAGTGTACATTGTTGTTGGTCACATGGTTGTTGGTTGATAGCTGGGACCCCCAATAACCCCACTATGCTTGGCTATTGCGACCATATCGTCCCATGCTGGCCACTTCTATCCCATTGTTGCCCCATTATCATCCTATCGTTGTCCCATATCATACTATCTTATTGTGGCAGGTCTTCATCACTATCACTATCACTATCCCCCATCATCATCCCATGATAATCCCATCATTCCATGCTCCCAATATTCCCCTTGTTGGCCAATGCTTCCATTTGCCATCAGCTGTCATTGTCTCATTATTATGATCATCCCATGTTTGACTAGTAATGAGGCAAACCAAAAATCGTTTGTCATGATCAATATCATCAGTATCCCATCATCGTTGTCATTAAACCAAGGTAACTCATTCTTTATGCTCCCATCATCAGTATCGATATCCCATCACCGTTGTCAATATCATTATCATCGTGTTCAGCATTATCATCATGCATTAATCCACCAACCTTTGGTTTCTCATTCCTCACTTGGGTATGGGTCAAAATTCAAGCACCAGGAACCGCAAGTTTTAGTCCTGGTTTCCATTAAACCCGGTTCCTCTTGGAGTACATAGTTTCCCCCCCAATGGTACCATTTCGGGGTGGGTGAATTCACCACCCATTTTAGAACCCATTTTTAGTGGGGATCGGGATGTTTACTGGGGGCTAACCGATTTGGGATTTGACCCACAACCACGTCTTCCTTTGGGACCCCACCAGCAAAGGCACCGGACCCGCGCCCGCACAAGCGCGCGCCCGTTTTTGCGGAGGCCTTCGCCTTCTTCGCGCTGTGGACCAGCTTCTGCAGCAGCTCCAGGCCGAAGCGCCCCCGGCCGCTACCGCGGGGCAGGATCTCCCCCTCCCAACTCCCAACTCGGCGCGAGAACTCAAATGAGAATCCAAGAAATTCAGCTTTTGCAAGCGATTCAACAACCAATGCGCCTCACTCCAGCAACTCAGTGAGTTTCTCTGAGATTCCAAGAAACATCGCCCCCAACCCATTTGAGAGAAGCCCAGGACCCGGCAGCACCTCACGACACCGGCCTGGGGCACTGGGCCCTTCACGATGCTGGAAGGATGGAACTTGACGCCCTGCAGAAGGTTGGGCAGGGGCCTGGAGACGCTGAGCGTATCGCTTCGCGTTGAATGGATCAACATTCTGCAATCCCTTTTGCTGTTCCTTCCGGGATCAGGAGAATTCCCCAAACCCAACTGAACATCCAACTGAGACAAGAAAAGTGCACGCTGGCTCATCTTTCCATGGCCTGTTTGCTTGTCCCCTTGCTGCCGCAAAAAGCGTGAGCCTTTTACTTGCAGGGCAGTGTCAGCTGTTCACGAACAATGCCAGCAAACGTTTCACACCGCTCCCGTTGGACAACATGGCCAACCAACTCGGGCCGACTCCGACACAAAATAACATCGAGGCTGACCCAAGCGTCCTCCCATCGGCGGTGCAGCGCATCCAGTGGCAGGGAAGCTCAGAAGCGCAAAGTGCAGCCTGCGGCAGTTCAATTTTTCCCAATACAAACAATACGTATTCAATGTATTCAATACAACACTTCTAAAACATTTCGATTCACATAAACTCCCAAATAACCTCAACATTCCCAATATACTTATTTGTTGTTGTTTTTTTCTCTAAAAACCCAGTCATGCTCGTGACTGGTGCAATGCCAGAGACCACAAGCTTGGTCCGTCTAAACAAGCTTCGCTGCATTCAAGACTGTTGGATCCAGCACCCAAACCTCTTGCAGACTTCAAGCTGTTCGAGCCGGGCGCCTCCTCATCCTGAAAGCGCTCCCGGGTGGGGTCGCCGAAAAAGCATGGCAGACCTCAAAGTGGCAGGAGTTCGCACGTGCCCACTAACTCACCGCAAGTCTGTTGGCGGATTGCGCACGATTCCTATGGAACCGTTGCTTTTGGGCACATATTCTGCATTGGCGAAAAGATTGTTCTTGCAGGTCAATATACCACTGACTTCAACCACAAACACCCCCGTCAAAAGATGTGTTGGACCCAGGCCTCCCAATCGAATTCATTCTCCATAACTCTGATAACACTAGAGTGTACAAGAAGTTTGCCAACATGATCTGCCGGATCCTGGTCGCACTCTGTGCTTCTGCCCGTCAAAGAGTGCTGTTCTCATGAAACTCTAAAGATGATGAGCATGATGGAAAAGGATGATGAGGATGATGAGGATGAGGATTATGATGAGGATGATGATGATGATGAGGATGCTGATGAGGAGGAAAATGATGATGATGATGAAGATGATGAGAGGATAATGATGATGATGATGATGATGATGATGAGGATGAGGATTATGATGAGGATGATGATGATAAAGATGATGATGATGATGGATGAAGATCATGATGAGGATGAGGGTGATGATGATGATGATGATGATAAGGATGAGTATGATAATGACAATGGATGGGGATGATGATGATGAGGAAGAGGATGATGAGGATGATGGATGAGGATGATGATCATGATGATGATGATGGTGGTGGTGGTGATGGCTGATGATGAGGATGATGGATGATGATGATGATGATGATGATGGTGTGATGGATGATGATGAGGATGATAAAAATGATGAATGATGAGGGTGATGAGGAGGATGATGATGAGGATGATGAGGATGATGATGAGGATGGTGAGGATGATGAGGATGATGAGGATGATGAGGATGCAGAGGATGAGGGTTATGATGAGGATGATGATGATGAGGAGGATGAGGATGGTGAGGATGATGAGGATGATGAGGATGATGAGGATGATGAGGATGATGAGGATGAGGATGATGATGATGATGAATGAGGATGATGATAATGATGGTGATGGATGAGGATGAAGATGATGAGCATGATGGAAAAGGATGATGAGGATGATGAGGATGAGGATTATGATGATGAGGATGATGATGATGAGGCTGCTGATGAGGAGGATGATGATGATGAGGATAATGATGAGGATGGTGATGATGATGAGGATGATGATGATGATGAAGATGATGACAATGAGGATGATGATGATGATGAGGATGAGGATGAGGATGATGAGGATGATGATGAGGATGATGAGCATGATGGAAAAGGATGATGAGGAGGATGAGGATGATGAGGATGAGGGTTATGATGAGAATGATGATGATGAGGAGGATGAGGATGAGGATGATGAGGATGAAGGATGAGGATGAAGATGATGATGATGATGAGGATGAGGATGGATGAGGATGATGAGGGTGATGGCGGAGGATGAAGATGATGAGCATGATGGAAAAGGATGATGAGGATGATGAGGATGAGGATTATGATGAGGATGATGATGATGAGGATGCTGATGAGGAGGATGATGATGATGATGAGGAGGATGATGATGATGATGATGATGAGGATAATGATGAGGATGGTGATGAGGATGATGAGGATGATGATGATGATGAGGATGATGATGATTGATGAGGATGGTGATGATGATGAGGATGATGATGATGATGATGAGGATGATGATGATGATGATGGATGATGAGGGTGATGATGAGGATGATGAGGATGATGAGGATGATGAGGATGATGATGAGGATGATGAGGATGATGATGACGATGGTGATGATGATGAGGATGATCAGGATTATGATGAGGATGATGATGATGAGGATGATGAGGATGATGATGATGAGGATGATGATGAAGATGAAGATGATGATGATGAGGATGATGAGGAAGTGATGATGGATGATGATATTGATGAGGATGGTGATGATGATGATGAGGATGATGATGATGATGAGGATGATGATGATGATGGATGATGAGGGTGATGATGAGGATGATGAGGATGAGGATGATGATGATTGATGAGGATGGTGATGATGATGATGAGGATGATGATGATGATGAGGATGATGATGATGATGGATGATGAGGGTGATGATGAGGATGATGAGGATGATGAGGATGATGAGGATGATGAGCATGATGGAAAAGGATGATGAGGATGATGAGGATGAGGATTATGATGAGGATGATGATGATGATGAGGATGCTGATGAGGAGGATGATGATGATGAGAATTAAATCAGAAGTTAATTCCTGGAATGAGTCTTCCAGCCACCAAGGGGATTACCTCTAGAGTTAATCCCAAGGTCCCAAATGCAAGGGCCAAGAATTAAATCCGAAGTTAATTCCTGGAATGGAAGGTCCACGGAACCTGAAACTCAAAAGCATTAACTTGGGAGTTAATCTTTTCTAACTTTTGAATTCACTCTGTTTCCTTGGTGCCCTAAGGACACCGTTGACACTTGCCGAACTGGGGAAAGGGATACCCTCCTTCCCACATGGCAACTGCCAGGGGGTCCCTTCAAATGGAAAATCATCCAGGTACCTCACAGGTGCCATGTTAGTTGGAGGAAGGGTATTGCAGACGACCCTGGAACCCCACCCAACAAAAAATCCTTCGCTTTCCTCGGGTCAGCGACCTCAGCATCCGCCTTGGGGTTGACCTTGTCTGAAACCGTCGAGCTGCCCAGACGTTGGCTCTCCGCCACCGCAAACCCCAATGTGTCCGACATCACCTGACGTCGGATTTCGGAGCCCATCCGACTCACATTTGGGGCTGGAAAGGGGCGGCTTTGCTAGGGATATCTGTCTGTCTGTCTGTCTCTGTCTTTGTCTCTGTCTCTGTCCCTCCATCCATCCATCCATCCAGCCATCCATCCAATCCATCCAACTTCTGGGGCAACCGTTTTTGGCTGAGTTGAAGGGAAATCCACAATAACACCGGGTTCCCTATCCGTTCAGACTCACGGCAGGATCCATCCCTGATGCCTGTCAACTTGGGTACTGTGGTGTGAGCAACAAAGACTGGCTCCGTTCTTTGCGCCAACAAGTCACAAAGAGAGACAAAGAGAGAGAGAGAGAGAGAGAGAGAGAGAGAGAGAGAGAGAGAGAGAGAGAGAGAGAGAGAGAGAGAGAGAGAGAGAGGATTAGAGGTTCAAACATACTATTGCATGTGCTCTATGCGTGCATGTGCTTTTGTTCGCTTCAGAGGTGATTCGGGCCATTGATCGGGATATGAACCGCATTTCTTGCTGGTATGCTTCTGTAAGGCTAAGAAGGACAGACTGGCAGTCAACACCTGAGACTCCGGTTGTGTTTTCCGCAGGAGGCACATGCATGTGGCTGATAGCCGGAATACCAAGTCCCTGAGCGAGTGTGCATACCACAGCGCAGCCTTTTGGAGCTATGCGACAAGGATTGAGTTTTCTTCACGACCTCCATGGAACGGCAACTCCATCAAACTGCAGGCACGTCCCATGATACTGGGCACATTCACCGAACGCGCAGTGTTGATGCATGCGTCGCTTGGGCTACTGTTGCGCCTTGCTCTTAGCAGCTTGCCGACATCTAAATAGGAGCTCAAGTGCTGGAATGAGCAAACCGGCGTTCTAGGCAAAACAGAATAGACTCTCATGCTCGAGGTCGAAGCACAACCTGACAGTCGTATCACGTCCTAAGAGCAGGCTGATGGTGGGTGGGCAGGGCTGCTCCGCTGCTCAGTATAGAACATCCCTTTGCTCGCAAGTGCGCGCGGCAATCTGAAATGAAACTCGCAACACTGCCACTGGCAAGCTAGGCCTCAAGGTTTACGTTGCTGGGTTCCTTCAATTAATGGCCATGGGTCAAAATCCCTTACCCCCAGTCAACATCCCAATCCCCACTAAAATCGGTTCTAAAATGGGTGGACCAATCCCCCAAAATGGGATCAACCACAACGGTTTTGACAACCACAGCCCAATCAGCTCACCCGGTGCGCAACGAGAGCCCACCGAGGCGCCCAGTCCGCTGTGACGACGAGCCAGTTCCTGGGCGCCAGCTCTTCGAGCACCTGGTGACTCAGATGCCCAGCCCAGTGAGGGAAAACGGAAAACCCGGAGCATCCCCTGGACAAAGGGAAAACCCTTCCCTTCCATGCCCACCAAAGCCTCCCCTTTTTTGGTTCTTTCGACCTGAAAGGAACAAACCCTTACCCCAAACACCCAAACAAACAAATGGAGGAGCAAAAGGAGCGGCACTGGGCAACTGGGCAGCAAAAAACGCTAGATATCGGAAACCGGCGAACCGAACCGAACGTATTCGCACCGAAAGGGTTCGGTTCTCGGAAACCGAACCTATTCGAAACGCGGTACAGCCGGAGGCCTCAGGGTCCCAACATGTCCATCTGTCTGTCTGAACCAACGCCAACCCTGTCAGCAACGCCTGTCCCGAGATAAGCATGAAGGAACCGACCGAGTGACCAGGCCTTCCCCACCAAGTGAAATTTTGCCGATTCCGTGGGGCGGGAAAAATGGGTGTCAAACTCGTTGCAAATGTCTCAAACGGAAGGGTGGATTATGTATGGATTCCAAAATCTGGATGTTAACCTGCTCGGGCCTGCTGAAGCCTCCTGTGTTTTCATTCTCTGTCATCAACGTGACAGAACCTGATCTCAAACAGGCTGCCGGCACCTCTACAATGATTCCTCACTCCCTTTTTCCCTGCTCTTGCCAGCTGCGGCGCAATGAGCTCGCGCCACACCCTCCCATCCTGAGCTGCGGCCGGCACATGCCACCGTGCTAGAAAGCGGACTTCCAGGGCTCAGAATCATCGCCGGCAAGCATCCGAGCGCCAGACAGCGCGCTCCCAAGCAAAACTTCTTGCGGGGCGATCAGCGAAAACGAAAAACCTTCCGCGCTGCCCGCCTGAAAGAGGCAGGAGACCGGGTACTTGAGGGTATCCATGTCGCAGGCTTCTCGTGGTGTCAGCGCATCACAACAGGGACCCCAGGAGCACTGCAAAACGATTCACATGTAAGCAAGCCATCTGAAGAAACTTCATGGTGCTGTTGTCAATTTGCTTACGAACAAATTGTGGCGTCGAGTAACTGATGAATTTTGGTGCCCGTCTTGCGATTCTATTGCTGCCTAGCTTCAAGTCACAAATCGATGAGCAATCACAGCGACAAGTCAAAACATTGGTTCCACTCATGCAAGCACGGCAGTTGTTGCAAACTTAGAAAAGTATAAACGCACTGGATCTCGCAAACTTCAAGCCCTACTGACATCCACGCGGGATCATGCATCCCAATGGGTGAGCAATCTCACCAACCAACCCAACCCAGCCAACCTAACTGATTGACTGACTCACTGACTGACTGACTGTTTCAGTGACTGACTAGCTAGCTAGCTAACTAGCCAGCTATCTGTTTTGCATCACCACCAGCATTCAGAATAAGGTCGGTTGGGAAACTTCTGGTTCAAACCTCACAACACGCAATGCTCCATTCGCCGCGGGCTATCGTGAAAATGGAGGGTGGTCACACTTTGTGTAGTTTGCTGGGCATCGACTTTTATGGACTGGCGAAAGAAGACGCCACCTGGTGCCGTTTTCTTGCTTCTCACCCGTCTACGTATCGTGCTGTTTCTGAAATCAAGGAGGTGTCCCCATTGCAGACGGACCCCAGACCAGACCAGACCAGACCAGCACGCACCTTTTGCGCTATGAAGCAAGTAATGTGCACGATTCAGGCAGATCCCGGACAGACCGCGACCAACAAATGCACCAGCTTCGCCGCTGTTGCAACGACCGGCCCATTGGGTTTTTTTCCCAAAAGTCCGGTGTCCAGACTGCCACCGAAAGATGCGGTAACACGGTGGCCGGAAACCATTGCCTTCATCGCGAGCCCAGAGTTAACGCCCAGGATGGGATGAATCTTGAAAAACAAGTCCGGGAGCAACCCAGCCATGCGCCCGATCCATCGCCAGGCAACCAGCAGCCCTGCAATGCCAGAGAAACCGCCAAAAGCGGCAACCTTAAAGGCCTGGTGCATTGCTCCTAGCATAAAAAACCTTGAACCCTACAAAAAGCGGTCTCAGCACTCGCGCACCTTTCTTGCAAGGCTGCACATCCTCAGGGCACACGCCCTACGCGCCTGGGACCTGAGGGTGAGGACATTCCACCCGCGAAACGGACTGGCGAGACAAGCGTTGGAAGGCAAAACAAGCGTGCTCTTGCCGGGCATGGGGGGACTCACAGGCGCGGCTGGAAGTCCCTTGATGCTTCTGCCAGTTGCAAGACAAGCGCGTCAAGCAGACAGGAAAAGGCCAAACAGCGTGTCAGGGCCGGTTTCAGTAAGGGCATCAGTCCCAAAGAAGGGTATGGGAAGGCGAAGTTCCAAAAAGAAACCGGGACAGGCGTGTCCCTGAGCGTGGGTTTAAGGCAGGGAGAAAAAAAAGAGGCAGCGGACAATCCGGCACAGCCTGACAAGCATGCAAATGTCCCCTTCCATGAAATTCTGAAAATCGGAATAAGGGTACCGCCACATTCCTCACGAACAATGGTCCCGTTCTGGAGGACATGGTCTTTCGGAAAGTGGAAATAGGCTAGGGGTCTCGACACGGGACATCCCCATTTGGATGGGAAAATCACCAAGCACTGCCTCTTTCGCACGCAGCTAAGGATACCCTCGGCCTGGATTCCCGATCAGATCCAAAAAAGGGCAAACCCCCCAACTATCCCTCTACACGGACCCCATGCACAAAGGCTCCCTGAAAACAACGCGCATCTCTCGAAAGGGCGGACAACTAGATTTGGGGTACCCAGGCAAGTCCAATGGACAAAGTACCCCCCAGCCCAAGTCCTGAACGCAAAAATGGCCAGTCGCCAGCTGGGTAATCCGTGCCTTGGACCGCAACATGACGTGCTGACTGCTGAAAGTGTCACGCTGAGGTGCCCGCCGGAAGAGTTCACAAGTGAGCGCTGTTTAAAAGTTTAACGCTGCAGGTTTTGCTGGGTTGCGGTAACCATACCAGGGATAGCGACAGCTACGTGCCTTGCTTGAAGGCAAAGGACGATTGGCCTTCCTCTTTGGACCAGTTGTCCCATGGACTGCAAGTCGGACCACCAACTTTGGAAGACTCGCAGGCCCTGGCCAGCATTGTCGTGGTGGACACGCCGCGCCGTGGTAACTGTGCGGTTCGCTTGCCTAACATCCCCGTACGGCTACGAGGGCCCCCAGGCTTTCTGACTGGCAGTCAAGAGGTACGGGTGGCTCCTTTCAACATGCAGTCACTTGAGATCCGTGAAGCGGCCTGTCAGCCATGGAGAGGCTTTCCAGGAGCCAGCGAAATTGGACGCGTACACGTCGGCAGAGGCCTTGTCTACACCAGACGCGGCAGGCACCTCTTGCAGTTCAGACGCTCGAGCCGTTGCAGGACATGCCTTGGCTAAGCTCTCAACTCGGGGGGAAGCGAGAGTTGGACTGCATTACCGAACAGGATGGGCCTCCAGGACACAAGGGTGCAGCAAGCCGCAGGCAAGGAACATCCCGCTGAACCCCCTTTTTTGCAGGCGCAGGCAGCGCGGGCTTGGGTGACGGCACGGCCTCCATACGACTGCGGTGGATCCTCCTTTTCTCTCCCGTCCAGCAGACACATGACGATGTGTCCTCAGTCCCGGATATTGAAATCTGGGTTAATCCAGAGTTTGCAGACCGACTGCAGCAGCAGCCTCGGGAAGGAGGGCAGTTGGAAGCTGG